GCCTGCTTTTATACGAGTTTGAATATGTTGGTTTATGTTTGTATGTTTGTATTTGTATAAGTTTTTTATGAGTTTGTATATGTTTGTATGCTTGTATTCATATAAGTTGAGACGTGAAAATAAAATAATTTTTCGTTTTGTTAAGAATTCACTAATGCTCTTAAAAATCAAAAGAAAATTCATTGAATGAAACTCAGCGGTTGGCTAGAAGGGTGGATGGATGGATGGATGGATGGATGGATGGATGAATGGATGAATGGATAAATAGATGGAAGGATGAAGGGATTGGTGAATAGACGGATGGATAGAAGAATAGTTAATGGTTAATTTTGTTGTCATTTTTGTTGGTGTGTTGTTTAATGTTGTTGTAGTTTTTGTTGCTCCTTTCCATTTCATATTAAACCAGCTAACAACGTGTTATTATAACTTGCGCAATGGGCTGCGTAAGTAAATACGCTTGTCTGTTGTGTGTGTGTGTGTGTGTGCGTGTGTATGTGTGTGCAACTCTCTCTCCTTTTCTCTCTCTTTCTCTTCCCTTATTTCTCTCTAACTAGATGCTAAGGATGTGGTAAAGAAAAACAATTTAAGGTAAGGAGTGACGATAGAGATGACACTAATGAAATTAACAACGAATTAATAATAGTAATAAAAAAGATAATGCTAATAATAATAATAATAATAAAAATAATAATAATAATATCAATAAAAATAATAATAAAATAATAATAATAATGAAATAATAATAATAATAATATCAATAATAATAACCATAATGTGAACCAGTGGAGTGTAAAATGTTGATGTATTATTTTTCAACGTTTCGTTGCGTAAGATTTTCCTTATGCGGCTATGTCGTCACATCATCGCTTGTGTCATCATCGACTCTATTATCATGGTCGTCGTCATCAACTATATTCATTCATTCATCATCTATCATTCATTCATTCGTTATCATCTATCATTCATTCATTCATTTATTCATTATCATCTATCATCGATTATTTATTCATTAACTGTCGCCATTCATTCATTATGAATGAATCATCTTTCATTCATTCATTCCTCATCTATCATTCATTCATCATCTAACATTCATTCATTATCATCTATCATTCACTCATTATCATCTATCTTTAATTCACTCGTTATTATCTATCTTCAATCATTCATGATCATTACAGTTGTAATTTTATTTTCTCATCACTTCTTAATCATCGTTATAATCATCTAAATGTATATATCCTACATAGACATATAATTGTTTCGCAATGGAAATTATTTAATTTTAAAAATATGATATTAATTATTGATATTAATTAATTTTCAAACAAAACAATAATGCGGATTGTTAAAACTGTGTTAAAAATTTAGTCGTCTAGTTGTGAACGAGAGTTTAAAAATGGTTTTTATAAACCTACCACAGACAATATTGATTAGCATTTGTATTGCAGCCTTATTTAAAACATGACAATTTATCTGTTTGTTCATCCCTTATTACCATTCGTTTTTTCATTCGTTCAATCATTCATTCACTCAATCATTAATAATTTAAAAGCATTATGGGGTGGGGCTCGTTCACTGATTGGCACTGTCCGTCATTTAACATTTTTTTCATCTGCAATCTCAACCCTTTAATTCTTTTTATAGCTGCTCGAGTTTTTCAATCACTCGCTCAATCACTCTTGAAAATTCACACCACCTGTCAACCGTTCTTTCATTTATTCTTACACTCATTCATTCATTCGCTCGTTTATTCATTCGCTCATTCATTCAATCTCTTATTCACTCCTTCATTCAACAACTCTCTACATGGCATGCCAAAAATAGCCACCTCTCCACGACTCTTACAATAATAACAACAACAATTGCATTTATTGTTATACATAATTGAACGAATTTTATCAATACAGCGCCATATAATTAGCAAACAAAACGCGCCCACGCTGTGACGTTTCACTGTTTTGTTTACTAACAATCGTCACCCTCTAGTGACCGACCTACATTTAGCGCTCCTAATTGGTCCGGTCGGTGCTTGACCCAGATATTTCAAATTGTTTGTTTTCGCTTGTGGTTGGTTTGTGTGTTTACTTGTTCGTTTGGTTGTCTGTTTAATTGTTTGTTTGTTTACTTGTTTGTTTGTTTGTTTAGATAAGTGTTTGTTTGTGTATTTGTTTGTCAGTTTCTTTTTCCCACAATGAATGCAACGACAACAAATTGAAAAATGATGACAATGATAATAGGCGAAACGATAAATTAACCAATTAATCAATCAAGCACTGAGGGTGATTATGATGATGATGATAATGATTAAGATGATGATGATTAAGATGATGATGATTAAGATGATGATGATTAAGATGATGATGATGACGACGTTTTAATGTTGATAAATCTATAACACTAACGATAATATCGCCAAAGATGACGTGGTGATGATGATGATGGCGATGGTGATGATGATGATGACGACGATTATGGTGATGATGATGATGGCGATGGTGGTGATGATGATGATAAAATGTGTATAATGATTAAAATATAATGTCAAATGGAATACCGTCGTGATGAGTTTGAATAGTAAAAACAGAAAAGTGCAATGCTAGGCAAACAAACAAATAACATCACACAAGTCTACACTACACACGCACACACACACACGCACACACACACACATAAACATACATACACACATACACAAACAATCACACAAACACACAAAATCACACGGACACAATAATTCACGTACGTTCTTCTGACAAATCAAATTCCGTCCGTGGAAATATTCCTACTGAATGTAAAATGAAAAATCATACTGCAGAGCATAATCATTTGTTCGTGTATGAGCACATGCACACACACACAGATAGAGAGAGAGAGAGAGAGAGAGAGAGAGAAAGAAAGAAAGAGAGAAAGAGAGGGAGAAAGAAAGAGACCGACATACAAGTATACATGCACACGTAAACACGTAACTCATTTATGTATATATTTATAATTTATAATTTCAGATATTTTCAAAATTATGTTGTACATGTGTGGATTTTGCAATATGAACTTACGTCAATAATTTTACCCCGTTCATTGAGCAGTACGGATCTCTGCAGTTTTATTTTGCAGTTGCTTTACAAGTTTTAAATGCAAATTAATACTAAAAATCCTCTGTTCTTGAACAAACATCATTCATACAAACGACCGTACCAAATAATCTTACAAACATGAACACCTAAAATAACGTGGAAGTTAAAAAGATACATTGAAAATAAGAGAGAGAGAGAGAGAGAGAGAGAGAAAAGGGAAAAAAGAGAAGGAGAGAGAGAGAAAGGAATAGAAAGAAACATGGCAAGCGAGCGTAATGATATAGTAGCTAAACAAACGAAAACACACGACAAGAAAATTCGCTTTACTGTGACATCATTTTCGTTCCGACGTCATAAAAACTGTCCTATTATGCATATTCATGAGCTCACCTGCTGACCAATCACGCCTCACTATTTACATTCCTGCAACGCCCAAAATGTCAATTATTTAAAAGCCCCGCCTACAAACAAAACGCTTACGCCGTGATGCGTATGGATCGCATTAAATTTCTGCACGTGTAAACCTTTCAATCAACTGTTTAGACCACGCCCACATGAATATTAATGACTGCACGGCGCTGGTGTTACTGCGTGTTTTGGTTGATGGCGCAAAACAAAGTGAGTTATTTTTTGGCATTTGAGAAGAAAGAGAGAGAGAGAGATGGAAGAAGAGAAAAGGAAAAAGTGAGGGTGTAGGTGAGAGTTTGAGAGAAAGAGAGTTGGCGAATTAGTTATTTAACAAAATGTCAAACGTTGTTTGCTTGCGTTTGTTTATTTGACTCATTTTTACAAGAACTTTAAAACGATTTTTTTATTTTTATTCCAAGTTTTTACTTGAAGTATTTTCATGTACCAACACGTGTACAATATAAGCACTATTAACGTATAAAAACGTTGAAAAACTATTCAAACTTTTTAATCTATTTAATTTCAACTTTAGTTGAATATATACATATTAATTATTCATTTTATATTAATAATTTTATTTTATTTCAAACAAAACATTGCAAAATAAAAAAGGTTCCAATATAATACAAGTACTATATGTATTTTAAATCCAATTAGTTTAAGTCTAAAAATTTCAGCCGTGCAAACAATATACAGATTTTTATTTAAAATTTTCAAATTAGTCGATGAATCGAATATTATTGTTCTAAACTGTTGAATTTTGGCATTTTCAAAATGGATGGTGCGGTTGAAAAAAGCGTTACTTCTAAGATTAACAACGGTGACAACAACAAAATGTTAAATAACAAAAGATTTTTCGACATCAAACTGTGCAACAACCACACCAACAACGGCAACAACTGCGAAAACGGTGAAGACCAGCACGTCAACAACATTAACTACGTCGTTGGCAGAAACAACTTCAACAGTTTCAAAGATATTCCGAATCACCACACCGACTTCAGTAGCAAATACATCACCTCCAACAACAACAACAACAACAACAACAACAACGTCACAAATTTTATTGCAACCAACAACAATCTCAGCCATAGCGCAAACAAAAACAGCAATATAATGAACAACAACACACAACTTGTCAAATACGACGACAAAACAACACACAACTCCAGTTTTGAACGCAGCAGCACTTCAGATCAGAAACTAACGCCTCTAACGTCGACAACTCAAATGATTGACCCGAGAAGGTACCAGCAGTTTTTGGACTACCAAGTCCGTTTGAGGAGGCAGGTGGCGTTCCAGACAGGTTACCAGCTCATGTCCTCGCTACAGCACAGATCCCAGTACACCAATCACCTGCATCCATACTCCAGATATCAAAGTTTTCACGCAAGACCAACGACCTTCGCAAACATTCCGCTCCCAGCAGATGTCAAAAGTTGGCTGACGTTATTCTACGCCAAGAACAATCCGTACGCAACTCATTTGGGACGAGTCGGACTCGCACCAAACGGATCGATGGCGTTTCATTGCCCACCCGAGGAACCGAAACCCACCCACAGTTACATCGGAATTATCGCGATGGCCATCTTGAACTCAAAAGAAAAAAAGCTCGTCCTTAGCGACATCTACCAGTGGATATTGGACAACTATCCGTATTTCCGAAGGAGAGGGCCAGGCTGGAGAAATAGTATCCGGCACAATTTGTCTCTGAACGATTGTTTCGTCAAATCTGGGAGGAGCGCGAATGGTAAGGGGCACTATTGGGCGGTGCATCCGGCAAACGTGGATGATTTTCAAAAAGGAGATTTCAGAAGGAGGCGGGCACAAAGGAAGGTGAGGCGAGCAATGGGACTCTCTGTGCCCGATGAAGATGACAGTCCCGATCCATCCCCTACTCCTGGAAGAACGTGTCCAAACTCCCACCATCATCATCCTTTCCACCATCATCAAAACCATCTGCATAATCAAAACCACCATCACACTCACCACCAAGAATTTTTCACAACTTTTTGTCAGAGGAACTGGATTGACACTGTCAAAAAGGACAGCGAGCAGCAGAGCGACGTGGATGACGACGATGAAATCGAGCATGATGACGTCATCGATGAAGATGATAACAAACATAGCGTAGAAGATGAAATCACATCTCCAACTTGTCCGTCAACAGAGGATGAACCAACTGAAGGCAGAAACACACCCTGTGCATCATCACATGATGCATCAGAGCCACACAAAAACTTTGTTGGAACTTCAATCAAGAAAAGACGACTTTTCGACATGGAGAGTTTACTAGCCCCTGACACGGTAGAAAAAATTGTGCCAAAAATATCAGCGCCGACACCTTTTAAAAATTGGTGCCTCGGTGCTGACGATGACGACTGCAAGAGATTTCAATATAAACCAAACCTCACTAAACCAAATGCCGATGGGACAGTTGGAAATGTCGGAAACCCGCGGACAAACAAAGGAACAAAGCAGACACATCAAGTCTCCACACATTCAGCGTTGAAGAAGGGCATCAAATTTGTCGGCAGAATAAACCACCGAACAACATCTACTAAAGAAAAATTGAACAAACCGCAGACGAACAGCGTCAAAAAGTTTAATTTCAATAAATACCCCACCAATATATTTGATGACGTCTTCAAAGATAGCTATCCAAACTTTTCAAGTGATTTCAACTCATCGGCAATGAACAACAACACGAATAACGAAATGATTGCAACTGTAGATGACGTGAAGTAATGTTAAAATGAACGAACAACCATAATGGCGTGTTTTTTTTCATAAAATGAAAACAAATCTTATCTACTATCATCATTTTGTTGAGAAATAATTTTTTTTTAAATTGTTGACTGCGTTCAGCAACAACGCATGAAATTAATTTTATCTGTAGAATTTTTTAACTACCCCTGCTTTCAAAATTAGCTGACTATTTCCACCCCACCGACGAGAAATTCACGTAAATGAGAATTCAGCTATGGCATCATCAACAGTAATGACGTCAGACTGAGAAAAAACATAAATAAAAAATCATCAAAAGCAGCTCGAAGAACATCATCACTATTGCAGGTAGAACAATTTCGCCAACGACGACATTATATTCAATGACAACAACAACATCAACAACAACATCAACAACAACATCAACAACAACATTGATTACAACAACATTAGCAACTTCAACAACAACATCAACAACATTAACAACAACAACATCATCAACAGAAACAACAACATCAAAAGCAGTAACTTCGTCATAACGAAAAACAAAACAACATCCTAAACAACAAGCATCGTCAACAACAACAACATCTACTACTACAAGAAAAAAAAGAAACTGATTTCCCATGCGAAAATCCAAACGAAACGTTTATTAAGTTATCACCTTGTTTCAAACTCTT